TTTTTTTCCTTTGAGAGTGGATAGAAATGTAATATTTGGATGAGGGTCTGTGGGAAGTGAATAAATTAGAATAAGGATGCTAAATCAGTGTGGTTGGGAAAAGTGAAATATTAAATATCACCAGAAAATTCATAAGAAAGAGAAGGTAAAACATTTTAATGCTAAATTACTAGCATCAAAAATAAAACAATTGAAATAACATCTTTCCCCAAAAATAAATAAAGGACAATGAATTTGAAATCAAAAAGGAAGTGCCTGAAGTCTCCAGCGGTCATGGAATTACAGTTGTTTTGAGTTGTTGGCATATTTGGTTTTTATTACTGTTTTTCAATTATTGCTTTTCCATGTGATTTTTTTTAATTTCTACAATCAAACAGTAGGCCAGATTGGAGTTTCTGAGCTCATCTCTCATGGATAATTGAAATAAACTATATCAAACACCAAGAAACAGCCCACAAATCTGAAATGACAAACTTACTTCCTCTTTGTAACGCAAGCTCTTTTCCTGGATTTCAGTTAGGACTTCTCTTTTTTTAAAACCAGCAAGTCAGGTTTTTTTTTTGCAAAATCAATAAGTTTGTCTTTTGTCTTCCTTCCTATGGTAATTTAGGAGGTTTTTTTTGTTGTTCTTTTTGTTTTGTTTTGTTTTGGTTTTTTTTGTAAGATGTGTGACCTAATGTCAGGGTACTCTCAGTGGAGCAGATCCCCTTTTTTATTTAAATACAAGTATATAGATGTAATGTATCTTTGAAGAGTATATCTTCCCTTGAGTATTAAACGAATTGTCAGATGGTTTAAAATGGGAAGATGTCATGTATGTGAAGAGGAGTAGTTAAACTGTTGAATGTGAGTGTTTGGTCATGTTAACATGAAAGACTTTTAGATGGTAGCTTACCTTAGAAAATAGACATAGTATCAAATTGCGTTTTTCTGCTACTTGACTTCTTTGTTTTATGCATTTGTAAATGACAACTCAGTGTGTTTGTGAATAGAGCAACTATTACAATGCATCTTGAACCCCTTGCTTTAACAGGAAGCTTTTGTCTTGTATGTTGCAACCTTTCCTATCGTTTTGTATTTCACTGGTCCTTGTGCAGTTTTAAAAATTTTGCTTCCTAAAGGCAGTTTCTGCTCAGCTGCCTCCCTCCCCTCTGACTTGCTCAATGCAAATGGCATAGAGCCAGCTTGCCAACTTTGTAAAAGCAGGAGAATCTTAAAGATTAAAAAAAAAAAACCAGGACATTTTCTATATACTAGCAGCTAGTCTGAGGAGGGAGTCACAGAGTTATTGCGCCATACTGAGAGAAAGGCAAAAAGAAGTAATTTTATTTGGAAGCAGCTCTGGGGTAGCTGTAGCAGTCTCAGACACAGTGAGGGTGTCGCAGGGGACATGAGGGATTGTTGGATTACCACAGGAGAAGAGGGTTTAGTTGGTAATGATGAAAGAAATACTCATGGGAGGGCAGCTGTCATTACTTCTGCTGCTTGACTAACAAGTTTATCTTCCTTTTTCTTCCTCTCTGTAGGTGTGGACTGTGGGGTTCCACCTTCTGTTTTAAATGCACGTCCAGCATCAGTAAGCGGGACCACATATGGAAGTGAAGTTACTTACAATTGTGTTCATGGTTACTTCATTGCAAGTGGCAATCAGACTGCAGTCTGCAATGCCAAAGGACAGTGGGATGGTATTGATTTGGTGTGCAAAGGTAAATCAAAGATTTATTTAGTATAGATAGTGTTTCAGCCACCATAATAAATAGCAGTTATCAGTTAGAGACATCCTCTTTGGGCATTCAGTTTGTACAGTCTTCTGGCATGTGAAGTTTGGTGACAAAACAAAAGATGTATGTTAAATAGGTTTTTTAAAATTTCATCTGCGTTGCTTATGAAGTTGCAATTAATTATTAAAAGTTCACATTCTATGGACAAAATCCAAATGAATGTCAAGTAGTGGGATTACCATGAAGTGAAAATGCAGCCTACATTGCTGCCATTTTTCTAGCTCAGTATCTACTCTGTGGTTGAAGCTGCTACTCAGAAATTGAACCACTATTAGCGGTGAGTGTTCCGTTAAAATTCCGATATTCGGACAGTTTCCAATTGCAAACTGTTTGACTGATGAAATGTACTGTTGTTGAGTCATAAATGCCTTTTGTTACTATGATTTGTGGCAATGTAGCCTAGCAAGTTCCTTGGTAAGAAGAAACACAAAGGTACATTTAAAAAAAAAAAAAAGTATTTTGCCCAACAGGATTCCTAGTGTATTTTTAATTTGAGCTCATATTATTAATTAATGTGACCTCAGGATAATTACAGTCTTTATTCAGTTTTTACAAGAGATTAATATTTCTTCAGCTTGATCCAGCAGGGCCAATTTTTCTGTTCATTGCAATCGATTTTTTTTTGAATGTGCAATGTATATGTTACAACCACTCTCTACTTTTAGAATCTTCTTTAATATTCCTATTCTGGGTCACCAGTCTAAATAGAAGGTTCACTGTATTACACGGAAGTGTACTTCTGCATTTCTGCTTTTCAGTCTGATTGTGGGCAGATAGCTGGACTTAAGCAGTAGTAATTTTTATATCTCATCACATACTGTCCTTCTATAAGTTAAGCATGTTCTCTGTATGTGTGTTAGTTATTCTAAAGCCTGTTCTGATGATTTATAATAGGTACATACATTCATACATGCTGGAATATGAAAAGGAAGGTTGTCATGAAGGTGGGTGTGTTGCCCATTGCAGTACCTATGTTTAACTTTTCCTTTAAAGGTTGTACCGATCGTGATTCTGTTAACTTTGTATTTTTACTTTGTTTTCCTTTTTTTGGGTAGAATTGCTTAAGATTATTTATTAAACAGTTTTAAAGGCACTAGTTTTCTGCGTAACAGCTTTAGTGAAGGTAAGATTTTAATTCTTACATTGTTTACTACTTAAAAGTGAAGTGATGCAGAATCTCTTACTGGGGTGTAACGTTCATTGTGGATTTGAAAGTGAGTTTTAACCCTAAATAATATTCTTCCATTGATTTGATCTTCACTCTTTATTCTTTTTTGTTCCCTAATTTTATAATGAAGCCCCTGAAAACAACTGAGCAAATGAAGTAATTTATAAGTGTGTTACCACAGTTTTCTAATTATCTCTAAAGTGGTCTGAATAATCCATCAAATTTTCCCCCAAAAGTGCTCTTTCTGCTTGTCTGTAGCAGCTTTTCTTTTTTCCAAAGCTTGAACTAAATCCACTGGCAAAGGAACACAACCTTCTTGAAGCTGTTCTTCCATGTCACTCCTTTGTTCCTGTGTTGTTTTTCATATCTAGTGTTACTAATGATATGTAAAATAAAGGAATAAATAGTATGTGGAAGATGAGAGTGTTGTGGGACTATGGATCCGTTTGTAAAAGTTTGCTTAGAGATCCCTGTTCGCCATTTCTAAACAGGACACTTTTATTTTGTGGTTCAGCTTGAAGGACAAATGCTCCACCCTGCTAGAAAGTCTCCAGTCACACGATTTGGGTTCTAAAGGGCTGGTCTGGCTTCTATAAATGACTAGGAAATGAGAAAAAGTCAAGCGTTACTTTCTGGGACAATTCATCTCTCTTCTTTAAACGCTTCGATATGCTTTGCCTTTTTTCATTTTAGGTTTTTTTAAGCCTGTTTTTTTCTATTCCAGAAATAGACTGTGGCAAACCTTTGCTGATTCCACACACAGAAATGATGTGGGACAACTCTACCACTCTATGGAGCAGAGTGTACTATCAGTGTAAAGAAGGATATTATTTTAATGGAGACAGGAATTTTTCAGAATGCACAATAGATCGGTCGTGGGAGAATATTACATATATATGCAAAGGTAAGCGTTACTGGAGGAAGTTGCTGTGGGCTGTGCTGTTTAAATAGTTTCTCATTCCTGTTCTGAAGGTAGGAACAGGAGGAAGGATGAAGGCAATAAATCCCTTTTAAATTTATGATGTAGGGAATGTGCTGGTACTCTGGGATGGAAAGGTCACGGAAGAGAATGTTAACCATGCAACAATTTCTAGTGGATGCCACAGATCTTTCTGTAGCGGTCTTGCTTTTTATTTCAATCAGAAAGGGACTAATGCAACAGGAGTTTCATTGCTGCACTGAGAACCTTCAGCTTTAAAAGCCAAGGGAACGTCACCAGAAGAGCAGAAGGCAATTAATGATATTTTGTTGTGGGCCTAATACTGTGAAGTGCATTGCGATGGAAGTAGGGGAAATGGAATTCAAATCTCTTTTTTCTTTTTTTTTTTTTTCTTCTCTCATAATGCCCAAAGTAAACACTGTTCGTGGTTGCCTTTCCAGACTAGATCTAGTTGTCTGAATTTCAGTCCAGAAGGATTTTCTTGTAAAAGAATGAGTTCTGAGAACATCTGAGTAAATCTGTAATGAAGATGTTGTCATACTGTGGGCTTGGAGATGGGATGCACTGGCATTTTAATAATAGCAAAAAAATAGCAGATGTTTTGGACTATGTCTGTTGTGCTCCCTAATGTTCTTCTGTATCCTTAGAAAGAGGTGTCACAAGATAGCTCTACGACTGTCTATCTCTTTTTCTTAAGTAGCAGTGCTGTTGTTTGCAGATAGTAATGTTCCTGTACTGTAGCGTCCTGTAGTGTCCACATGTTCTTCAAAAGTACTGGAAGTGTGTCTTTGACTGATACCACTTCACACATCAAGCCTTTACACAGAGAGTTGCCACTGGATGCCCTTGTTGCCTCACTTACTGGCTTGATCATTCACTGCAAATATAAAATGTGACATCAAATAAAACGAGCATGCAGAAAAGCAGTCCTCAGTTTTTGTAGTACCCTAATAGAAATAGAACTGCCATTGTTAGAAGTTGTAATTTATATTTAATTTAGGCAGTTTGCATAGCTGTACTTTCTGAATTGGTTTTGAAGCCAGCATTGTGTAGAGTTAACTCAAATCAATTATGTCAGTCTTTGCAATGCTGAGAGTTCTGTTTTAAGCACTGAAGCCTTGTAGAGCCTGAACCTGCAGACTGCACTCACAGGATTGCCATCGATTTCAGCAAGAGCTTTGCCACAGGCAAAAATGTAGACTCCAGCTCTAGCTGTTGGATCAGAGGGACAAAAAGAGTTATGGTCAAGTAGAATGGAAAAAAAAAACTTCTAAAAAAATAGCCTAACTAGTCCAGACTCCTTTGAAAAAAAAAATCATGAATAGGAAATTAGTACAAAGGTCTTTGGCTTTTTAACTTCGACATTTTTCACACTTTAATAGAGGTAACCAATGACTTTCTGTTTCAGTAATGATGCCTTTTAGATGCATATGATCTTAAGGTGGTGTGTAATTAATGAGTAATTCCCGTTAAAATGGGAGAAACTAATGTACCATTCCAAAATAACTTATGATAGATGTTGGAAAACCATTTGTCTTTTCCCGCTGCCTGAAAAACCTCATTAGAAGTAGGGTAGTTAAGAATTTTCCCTGAGCATGTTCCCTTTAGCAAATAATTGCTTCTTCATTTCTTGAGCGGTGATTGCTATGGAACTCTTTATTTGTGTTGTCTGTTGCATTGTCTGTTGGGGTATATACTAAATATGTGTGTGTGTGCGTGTGTGTGTGCATGTAAAAATACATTTAATAGGAGCTGGTTTAAATGTTAAAAAATTGCTTAACAAAATTAATTTTACTGAGAGATAATGATTGGATTAAGCTGTCAGCAGTGAAGCCTGTCAATAGTCAGCTGGATTACGTCTTCCTTTCCCAAACCTTGATTTGTATACATAAACTCAAGAGACTAAAGTGCAGAGAACATAACAGCACTTAAATACCTACTGTCCAGTGTGCTCAGTGTGTGAGCCTGGACATCTTGTACAGCTTGTCCTGGAAGAACTTTTTGCCTGATGGAGTAGGAATATGTGGTTTCATTTATTTTCATAGCAGAAATGGTGTGCTGTTATTCCAGGCACACATTGTGTTGAGTTCTGGTGGGATTTCATGGTAAATCTGGGAAGTTTTTTTCAGAGTGAAGAAAAGATCCTGTTGTGGGAATAATGTTTCAGTTTGTTTCAGGAAAGGGCTTTGGCTATAAAGTACTATATCATGCAGTCTGAAACAAGAAGCTTGTTTTCCCGTTGTGAATTTCAGATGAGAAATTGAGTTTTTTTGTTAGTAATATTTATTTTACCACCAGAGGTTGTTCTGGGTGTGTGCTTAGAATGGGACATAAGGTAACATAAGACTTAGAGATGCATTTTATAGAAGGGAAAAGTATAAAATGAAGCCTTCCCACTCATGTTTTTCTTTTTGAGTGGATTCTGCAGGTGAAGGGTTTTTTTTTTTCATTTGTCATGGCTCTAAGAAGGCCAGAAATGAGGTGATTTATGCCTTGTCTGTATGTCTGAGATGCTTCTTTCTGGATCTTCACTTGCAAATGGCACAGTGTGCAGTGTATATTGTAAGCTGCTACCAAGTCCATGAAGAGTATAATTTTGAGATGGGTAAGTAGACAATTTGGAGGGTGTCTGAAATGAAAATGTGTAAAGGAGTTGGTTTTGTCTTTCCTTGAGCTTGGATACAAGTGTTAGTAAACCATCAGGAAGGGCTAACAGAGGTGCTGAAGTAAAATTGTAATATGTGTAGATTGTGTATGTGCATGCATTAACACACACACACAGAGAGAGAGAGAGAGCTTAACTTTAGAGAACTTATTTCTTTGACATCCAGGAAAAGTTAAGATGGATTATGATGAATAGGGTGCTTATGGGGTTGCCTTGCTCTTAATACCATGTGCAACTCTAAAACTTTTTGTTACTTTTTCCAGTCTTCTTCACAGTTGTGAAGGGGGTCAGTTCATGCACAAAAGGAGCAGTGTCTGATGGAGTTTTCTGTGTTAATTGGACAATTGCTAGGGATATTCTGGAGGAAGATAGTCCCTTTACCTACTGCAGGTCTCTTCATCCTGTTTACAGAGTCCTCCCTTCTTCTATTCATCAAGCTTTTTCCAATTTCTGAGTCTCAAGTCCTTGAACTATCCTTGTCATGAAGAGCTTTTTCACAGATCTGTCCTTTCTGTAACAGTTGGCATTAGTCCTAGCTATAAACTCAAAGGCTGAATTGGCTGCTGCTCATTATTCTTGGTTCTAGAAAACTCCTTCTCTAGAAAACTCCTTCTCTGTATCTGTTTTCTTTGGATATTGTTAGTATTAATTGTGTTTAGTGTGGGTAGCAACAACATGGTGTTGAGAAAGACAAAACAGTTTGTCCAGTTTCCTTATTTTTCTGCAAGGAAAAGATAATACACGTCTGCACTAAAAAATAACTTATCAGTATTAAAATAAGTCTACAGGGCCCCCACTCACTGTATTATTAGGAATGCCTTTATTGAAGTGGTTTTTGATGTATTAAGTGAAATGTTGCCCTTGCAAAAGAACACTGCTGCCAATGAGTGGGAAAAGTCCATGGATATGTAAAAAGGCTGGAGTAGGTAGAGAATCTGACCTGCCTGGAAAGGTAATGTGGATTGTTGATAAAGCATTCCAAAATTCAGGCAGTGGGAAATAGCTGTTGTAGTGAAAAGGGAAAACTGAACTCTCTGTCCCTTCAGTGCTGAGTCTGACAGCACAGTGATGTTACTGGTCAGTTGTGAGAGCCTTCCAAAGTATTGTCAGTAAGGGCCATCAGCAAATCCACGGCTTCGCATGTGTCGTGTGTAGAGGAAAAGATGATCCAGTCCCAACATAGTGTGAACCTGCAACTCAAATAGGGAAAAAATAGTTCTTCACACCAGTGCACATTCCATCTGATCCTGAGCTTGGACCTTCTGTGTCATAACCTTTTGTATGCATCCTCTTTTTATGTTACTGCTTGTTAATGCAATGTGAACTGTCCATCTTTCGCTAAAGGTTCATTTTCTGTTTCAGAATGCTTCATTTTTCTGTGTTGTGACTCCCCATCCACAGAGTTTAGCTGCATGTCTTGACCTCTGGAGATTTTGTTGAGATAATCATGTGGAATTTGGGTATTGTGGTAATGAGGGGTACTTTCAAAGCATCAAGAGAATAAGGTGTTAGTTGGTTTTGAGCCATTTCCCAGAAACTGTGTGTTGTACGCCAGCACTGAAAATCCTGCCATCTGAAGAGATAGAGGATATATGTTAAATACATACTTAAGAAATTTGAAGGTTTAGAAGGAAGAGTGGTTTGATGAATCAGTCCAGAGAAGGCATAACAGATTGTCCACGCTGTGCACTTTCAAACATTGCAGAAGAGGAAGAGAATACTTTCATAATGCAAAAAAAAGAAAACCAAAAAACAAACCCTTGAAAAATAATCAAAAGCATAATCTGAATCCAGTCTGGAATAAACAGAGCAGGATCATTGTTCAAGTGTCATTTATCTGTAGACGTATAGCAAAGATAATTTCCATGGAACTGAGAGGACCTAGTTACTCCCTTTTTAATCCAGAGTTGTTTTCCCTTTGCTTTCACTTTCCCTTCTTCTCCTGTGCTTTATCCTTATTCCTAATGACTGATTTCCCCTCTACGTAGAATCCTCTGGGATGTCATTTTTTACATCCTCACTTGTACAATAAGAGATGATACAGAAAGGTGGCTGGAATGTTGCTGTGGTGGCAGCATCAGTAATTTCCACACAACAATGAATGGGTTAACTGTCACTCTCCTAAGTTTTATTGCCAGGCATGTGTAAATAATTCCTGTCAACAGTTAAGAGTTTAATAGAAAAGGTGTCACTCACATGTGTGGGCATTGATTCAAAACCCATGGTTCTGTTGGAACAAGAAGGCCATCAAAGAATTAGGATAATTGTAGACATCAATGAAAATGATCTGATTGGCCTG